GGGACCTTATCATTGAAGGGAACTTTTAGTAATTCCCTCTTACTGAGGCATCCCTCTGAAAACAATATTCTTTTATGAATACCCTCCCAAGACTTTCCACAAAACGCTCTTCAGTGAGTATTTTAAGTATTCTAAATAAAGATTTAAATAGGAGAGTGTAGACCTAGACCTGGGGAGTGTGTTTTGTTGTTGTTGTTGTTGGCATGGTGTAGGGTATATGGAGCTATTATTAGACCTGGTCATCTCTTCCATAAAGAGAAGGGAATTAAAGCAATCCATGGCTCTGGAATGATACATATTTACATATTATTGCTGACTTTAGATCACAAATGCTAGCTTTGTAGGATAAATTCAGGAAAATCATCAGCATTTTTTAACATGCTACCTTCCTATTCAATAAATTACTTTTTGCATTCTTAGGGGGCACCAAGATTCTGTTGTTAGTAGTTTCCTGACTGTATATTCATCCTGAGATTGTTTAGACGCTATTTTAAAATTCAGATTTAAAAAGACATTAACAAGTATAAACTCTTGATAATTATCCCAAAGCTGAGAAAATAAAACCATTTCTCAAGGCAATTCAAAAGAAAAAGAATAGAAAATGAAAAGAGAGGATCATTTAATGAGTGAGAATTTTTCAAGAGAAAAAAAGCATTATTTAGAATTCAACAAGTAAATCAGTAATGCCTTTTAACAGGCATTGCCAGATAATGTAGGTTTTCCAAATACCTAAAATGTTCTTAAGTGAGAGAATAAAAACATTTTCAAACTGTAAATCTTTCCCTAGTATATTTAGCTAATTATATATACTTAATTACCTCTAACATAATATATTGAAAATATACCAATCACTATGCAAGAATCATTTATATTTCCTTCTCAAGGTCTATGGCTTGTTATCTCTTCTCTGATTCTCAGAAACTGTATTATCGTTGTTATTCTTAATTACTGTCACTCTGGCTATTCCTAGTATCCTTTGCCACCTTTATTTACTGAGGAAAGAAAACCAGGCAACTGGCTTATTATAATAAGCAGAGTTAAAAAAAAAAAAGAATAAGCGAAGTGAAGGCCTAAGGGCTTGTCTTTGAGTAAAACTTGAACTCTGCTGCCCACGGATTTCCTAAATCTCTTTTGGCCTCCAGAGTCCTGCTTTTCATTCTTTCTCGTCCTCTGCCATGCACTTAGTAGTTGAAACTTTCTTAGTTGATAATGCATGGCTAAACGACCATGGAAGAACACAGCCACTTTAGAAATATTAAGTATGGAACAAACATTCATGATACAGTATTAGTCATTAGGTTTTATAACATTGAGCGAACCAGAAACATTTTTTTTTTTGGTACCAGGAATAGAACTCAGGACATTGAGCTTGCCAGGCAGGTGTGGCGCCACTGAGCTAAATCCTCAGCCCCAGAAACATTTTTTTATAAAATGAAATCCTTAACAGGATTTCCTTGTAAATAATCACTAAAATTTCCTGAAGGGTAAAAGTTTTTTTTTCCAAAAGGAATTAAAAAATTACAACTATGTTGATATAATGCAAAATACAGAGCATATCAAGAAAATTTGTATCTATAAACTTACTACTTTTAGAAAATACTAAGACTATTAGACAAGCTAAGAAATGAGATCAAATTTTATTTAATTAATGTATTTTTTGTGGTGGTTTTTTTTTCTTTTTTGAGACAGGGTCTGGCTCTATAATCCAGGCTGGCCTTGAACTCACAGTGGCAATTCTCCTGCCTCAGCCTCCAGAGTGCTGGGATTACAGGCATGTGCCACCACGCCTGGCAGAGATCAAATTTTTTTTTTTTTTTTTTGGTACCGAGGATCGAACTTGGGACCTTGCACTTGTGTGGCAGGCACTGGAACCACTGAGCTAAATCCCCGGCTAGATCAAATTTTTAAAAAGTTCAAAGTATTTACTTTGAAGTAAAGTCAAGACTTTCAGAAAAGTTTTAGTGAATTGAACTATCATGTTTGTTTTTTTTGTGTGTAATAAACACAGGGTATTTGTATAATAAAATCTTTTTCTAAACAAGTGGCTGAATATGTTGCTCTGCTCCCTGCATCCAGAAGGGGGCAGAAATAATCCAAAGCACAGAATTTTGATTTTCCACTCACTTATGGGGTCTCTTAGAAGTTCCCTTCCAAAGGCTTTGAAACCCCTCAATTAAAAATGAGACTGTTATTTCTGCATTGCTGTGCTCATGGATATTAATTGTGCATACTTTCAATCTGATTTATTCCTGCTTAGGTTGATGACTTAAATTTCTCTTAGCACCCATGCAGTTTTTGTGATACACAGCAGCCTCTTGTGTTTTTCATTATGACAGAAGAAAGGCTATGGAAAAATAAATGATCCTCAATTTCGTGAAATTCCAAAGAATAAGGGAACTGTTGCAAGCATCCAAAATAACTGCTCTGTGTAACTTTCCAGAGGGTAAACATTTCTTGTGCCGAAGGCATGGGAGCAACCATGACTTGCAGCCAGAGAGTGCAGGAGGCTTTTCAAAGGGGTGTGGGGGACAAGCATTCTAGGGTATCTTCTTTGACATAGTAAACTTACTTAATAATAATAAAAAATAATAATAAAAACTGAAAGCCAAGCAAAGAGCCTTAAAGCTGTAGGCTTTAAGATCTGAGAATGAGAAAAGCACCGGGCCCAGTGCCCTTTGACACGCAGCCTTTCCTCCTTCCCCGTGGCTTCCTTTGTCATATTTATAGTGAGCAGCTTTCCAAACTGGTGGAAGGGGAACTGGTGTCTAACATTCCTAAAAGAAAAGGTAACTGAAAATGATGGAAATTCAAGAACAGTTTCCTTAAGGAATACTTCTATCTTTAGAGCAGGGAGAGAGGAGGGGCAGTCTTATCAGAATGGATCATGCAGAGAGGAAACCCTTCAGGTAGGTCTGGCCCCGGCAGTTTCCTGCAGATCCAATCCTGGCAAGCAACCATGGGAGGGAGGAGTTGGGGCCACACAAGCAGTCACGTGCATCCAAGGACAGAGCATGAGCCTTCACGTGCATCCAAGGACAGAGAGAGCATGAGCCTTGCAGGGCGCATTCCAAGACATGCTCTAGAAATGTAACTAAAACTTCCCCAAGTGCAGCCAGAAGGTCTTCACAATACCAGTCCCTTTCAGTTTTCTATAACTACATTCTTGATTTTTACAAAAACCTAATACGTATCATTCTGAGAACTCAAGCTGGAACCCAAAGTGATCATAGCTCTGGCTGAAGGTATACATGATTTGGTGATTGCATTTTTCATTTGTGAACTATATTTCCTCTTCATTAGCATGAATGCTTGAAAGTTTGTTTGTTTGTTTCTTTATTTATTTAATATTACTGGGGATTGAACCCAGGGCCTTTGCTCTGAGCTACATCCCCAGGCCTTTATTTTTTAAAATTTTGAGACAGGTTCTCATAAAATCACCAAGTTGCCCAGGCTGGGCTCAAACTTGCTATCTTCCTGCCTCAGTCTCCCAGAGAGCTGGGATCACAAATGTATGCCACCACACACAGTAAGGTAACTATATTTAAAATGCTGGCATGAACCATACAGTCAGCTCTCAGTTTCCAATGTGTGACTAAATAACCTAAGGGTCTGAGGCTTTTGCTCAGTCCCAGGCCAGATCCACCCTGCAGCCCAGCACATTCCTAGCTCATCAGCCCTTGCCTGCTCAGGCTGTGTGTATGCACAGACTGCCACGCTACCTTGAGATTACCCTAAGAAAAAAGAACTGATTGGGTAAAACAGCTATACAGAACCCTAGAAAACATTTCAAAGCACATATAAAGAAAACTAAAATAGCAGATGAGCCAGAAGTCTTCCTTTGAATGAATAAGTGAGTGTTAACTATGTTTTGAAAAGTTACTGACATGTTCTAGTTTACATATGATACCCATTTTCACTACTGTGCTCTTTTATGGTTTGTGCAGGCCATTTTACTAGTACCAAAAAATGTTTCCACTTTCTATGTTCTTGGTTTTATGACCCAAAAAACCCCCAAGTCAAGCACTTTTAAAGAATAGAAATGTCTAGAAAAGAGAGGTGATGCTGCCTGCTTTAGATGCAGTTCAGCATCTTCACAAACAGCTTCTGGGAGATGATGTTTTTGGAGAAGGCAGGGAAGGAAGCGTTTGCATATTTCAAAGATCAGTTTACGTGTTTCTTTTGTACAGGGCTGGCAACATGTTTTAAAAATTCTACATACACTTGTTTGGGCATGGCTCTCTATGTCATCCACAGTGGAGGAATGCTGATTGCAAACTTTTATGTTGGTTTGTTCATGCATGTTTTTCTCGTATTCTCGAACATCATCCATTGTCATATCTGAAAGAGGTTAAGATGTTGGCAACTTCCGTTATTAAACGCAAACTTTAATGGGGAGACTTTAGGGAAAAATGGTAGCTTAGCATAGCCAAGGAGGTGTAAAAAAGCAGGGGACTGACTAACTTTATGAAGAGTGAGTCATAAAGTTAGTAAAAACAGCCAAGGGGGAGTGAGGGCGAGGAAGTTAAGTCAAAACAGACTCAGAACACAGAAGAGTGGAAATTATTTAGGGGTGATTCTTGTAAAGTGATCTCAGTGGTAGAAAGTATTAGCGTGGGGACAGTGCATAGCCTGAGATCTCCTAAATCTTCATTAGAAGATCCCTTTGGGGAGGGTCAGGTTT